CTTTTGCTAAGACTGGCTTTGAACTTGCATCCTCCTTCCTCAGCTTCCTGAGTTGTGGGATTGATTATAAGCATATGCCACTATGCCTAGCTAATTTATTTATTTTTTATTTGGTGGTAAAGATTGAGCCTAGTGCCTCACACATGCTAGGTAAGTGCTGTACCACTGAGCCAAAACCCGAGCCCCTCTGGATTATTTAATTTCTAGATTATGTTCAGTCCTGTGATCTTACGAATCTATGTGGATGTTTTTCCTTTGAATATATTCTCATACCGATAGTTCCTAGGGTCTTCAGATACGAGGTATATTGGAGTTTAGTGGAAGACTGTGAAGATAAAATATTATTCTTAAGAGGAAAATCCAGTAATCATGATGTTTGGCTGTCACTCAGTAAACAAAATCTTATTTTTGTATTAGTATTTAGATTGCTGAAACTGAAGAATTTTAAGTGCTTAATGTTTAGACTTTTCAACTATATATTTGTGTTTTTAACATCAAAAGAAACATATAATGTTCTTATTGATGTGATAGCATGAAAAATTCTGTAGAAAAGAGCTAAATTTTAAATCAAACATATTCTACAAATACACATATACACATAAAATTTTGGACACAGGCTTTCTTATATAAACTGTTGTGAATTGTAGATTTTCAAACAAGCCTAGAAAAGTAAATAATTTAAGTGATAATGTGTTTGAGGAGTACCACTGATATTTTCATTTTATCTACAACTGATGCCCCTTTGAACTTTATTTTTATCATATTTTCTGAGTTTCCGTGTTAATTCCTAGAATTTCTACTTTTTGTAAAAACTTTGCAGGCTTTATAATAGGTCAGAGCTGGAGTAAGGCAGAGACAGGCTTTGTAGTATGTCAGAACTGGAGCAAGGCAGAGACACTGATATTTGCAAGTAACTTTTATACTTGTGTAAAAGACCCTTCCCTCCTTATCATTTAAAAAAATGATTAAGTTCAGAAGATTCTACAGGGTATTCTTCAGGGTACCCCAGCCTTGTTTTCCAATAGAAAAGCTTTGTTTTTATTTGTTTACTATACTGGGATTTGCCTACAAATTTATCCACTTAAGATATTAACCTGGTGGTTTCACTCAGGCTCTTGAATAAGCCTCTGTTTCTGCTCTGACATGACTAATTTTGGAACATGTTACTTGAGCATGTTACTTCATGTCTCTCTGCTTTGGTTTCCTTTTCTATAAAGTGAAGATAATGAACGTACCTACTTCATAGGGTCTTTATGAGAATTAAATGAAGCAATTTATTATTTATTATTTATAACTGCATGAAACCTTATACATAAATGACTAAATCTGTGTTAGATCTGGCATCTGTCTGATGCCAAAGCTGGACTTTTACCACTATTAAGTCATATAGTTGAACTAAATCAAGGGAATGAAAAGAGTGAAATGAATTGAGGGATTGGGGCTAGAAGAAAAAGTTTAGTGCTTCTCTATCAAGGGGCAGCTCATGAACTCAGATAATGAATTTAGCCTGGGAAAGATCATAGAAATAAGTCTGCTACAGAAAGGAGGTTTTTATATGTGTCTCTCAATGGTAAGTCTTCAGGATGTTACTAAAAAGAAGTTTGTTTAAGCCTGTTCTAGTCTAGAATTGTTTCAGACGGCATGGAAAATAGGTTGATTTTCCTAGAAACCTGTAAGTAATTTGATCAAGTGATTAGAAAGTCTTAATAATTGAGACACACAATAGTTTTGAATAGTAATGAACTTGACTTAAGATAGCCTGATTATAGAGAAAAAGTGATTACCATCAGATTATTAAAATGCAGTGTTATCAGGACTTGCATTAAAATTCTAATTTAAATTTTAAGGTCTTTGTTAGTTTTGCCCAACAAAAGAATTAATTATTGTTTATAGCAATAAGTTATTTTTAAAAATTTTTAATAATATGCAAACATATTCCACAACCTGTTATTTCCTTGAATATTTGTTTTAGTCCTAAAGGTCACTACTAAACCACTGAGTGTGTATGTTATTTAAACTTTTAATGGCAAAAATCACTTGTAACAAAAAGAGCTAAATGTATAAATAGGAAGGAGAAATTTGTAAAAGCATTTTTTAAAAGGCACCTGAACAGCAATCATAGTCATCCATACTATTATCTGGTATTTTTTTTTTTGAACCTGGAGGTGCTGAACCAGTGAGCTACCTCTTCAGCCCTTTTTATTTTATATTTTTAAACAGGCTAGGGCCTTCCTAATTGCTGCAGCTAGCTTTTAACTTGCAATCCTCCAGCCTTAGTCTCCCAAAAATTTATCTAATGTAATGGAAGAGAAAAAAGGAAGGTATTATAACAACAAAAGAATTTCTAGAAATTGAACTTTTAGCTGATTCAGAGAATCAATGGAAAAGGTCTGAAGCTTAAGTTTCTAAAATGAAAACTTTATTATAAGCCCACAAAGTATACCAATAGAATTTGAACCAACCAATGATTTTCCTGTTTCTCATTAGGAGTATTCAGCTTATATCATAGAGAACCAGGTTTCAAAAAGAGAAAATTAGGGGCTGGGGATGTGGCTCAAGCGGTAGCATGCTCGCCTGGCATGTGTGTGGCCGAGTTGGATCCTCAGCACCACATACAAAGAAAGACGTTGTGTCCGCCGAAAACTAAAAAATAAATAAATATTTTAAAAAAGAGAAAATTACTGAGGCATTCTTTGAGTCAGCATGACTTCAAAACTTGCAAATATATCTACCTCTGTCTGTATTTAATCTTAGGATTCATACCTACAAGATAAATTCAGCTGTCAGAATTGACACCATCACATCTAGCTATTTGATTTTATAGGTGAGGAGGAGGTAAGGGAAACTAAGAAACTAATGACATGGGTGAGATTGATTTGTTATTGTCAGGTTCGATAAAATTATCATGATTTTTCAACAAGCCCACTTTCTATGTATCCTGCTTTTGTCTATGCTAATTCTCCTCACCCCTGTTTCTTTTAAAGTAGTGCTTGAGATAGAATGCAGGGTGTGCACTCTGTCACTGAGCTACTGGGATTTGCCTAAAAGTTTATCCACTTCTTTCTCCTCTTGTTCATTTGTTAATTGAATAGAGTATGTGATGAAGATGGAATAGCACAAAAACATGAAAGGAGAAGCTATGAGACCACATTTAACATGCTATCATCTAATAACATGTATGTCAACACTATGATACAGATTAGCTATCTGGTCTTTTAGTTTTAATTCCTGGAAAGATGATTTGCGAAGGATATTCTGAAGTATTTTTTTTAACTTTTTAAAATATTTATCTTTTAGTTGTAGTTTGACCCAATACCTTTATTTTATTTTTATGTGGTGCTGAGGATTGAACCCAGGGCCTTGCACCTGCGAGGTGAATGCTATCCCACTGAGCCACAACTCCAGCCCTGAAGTCTTTTAACATATGAAATTTCAAATTCTGAATTTTCTTACAATAGGAAATAAAACTACTCCCTGTAATAACAAATGTCTTTTAAAAAGTAAATTTCATTCCAGTAAGTAAAATTGACTGAATTTTGCCTGTGTCCCAATTATTTTGTGATAATAGGATGTCTATTATAAATTCATCCAAGGAAAACTTGGGGATTAAGTATTAAAAGCAGTAGTTGGCTATTCTCTGTTCATCTTTGATGAATTATTAAAACTGTTAATAATTACAGTTAATCAACATTGTGAATATTCTTGCAGTTATTTAATCATAGGCTTTCTTTTATCACTGTATATATTTCTTAACCATTTTTATCCTTCCTTTCCCTGAATCTCCTTCACATCTTTCCATTTGGAGAAATACAAATTAATTTTAATATAATCATACTCCAAATATTATTAGTCAGCTTATAAAGTATGTATTCCAAAATCAAATATATTTTCATAGTGTCCATTAAGCTGCAGCCATAGTATCCCACTCTTTCCTGTTCCCTTTCTGAAAAATAAAAGCCATAGAGAAAAATTGTTTTAAACAAAGAGCCAAACTAGAAGAATTATATTTCTCATTATGAGGGACTGCATAAGACACAGAAGAGGGAAGGAATTGAAGGATAAGATGTCATGGATTTGAAGTTATCTCATACTACTTTGATAATACTAACAAAATGAGAGAGAACACCTGACGAAGTAAAAATTGAAATTATCATCTATCTGCATATCCTAACATGTGATTCTGTTTAGAATGTGGGCTAGGAATGTGACTTTATAAGATTGTTTGAATTTTATTTACTTAAAATAGGAGACAAAAATCCCAAGTGTTGACTATTGGTTTTCTGATGATGTTTTTCATGTCTGACTCTATCTTCAGGTTTCAGATAAAATAATATATCCATGGAGAAATGTATATATAAAGTATGTATAGCATACTATTTCTTACCTAAGAGAGGATTACATATACTTGTGTGTATTTGTGTATATCTGTATACACACATCTACACAGGTATACCTATGACACTTTAAATAACACTTTATACTAAGAAATAATGGGGATAAAGCATGATTTTAAAAAATTGTGAAGTAATATCATTTTAAATTCTACAGTCTGTGAGAGTTTAATTTGCTGTATATCTTTATTTATTTTATTGTAACTATTCTAATGAGTGTGAAATGTTATTCCACTGTGGTTTTAATTTACATTAGATCATTTGAGCTCTTTTTCATATACTCGTGTACCTTTCTTATATCTGTCTTCATGAAGTGTATACTTTTTTCCCCACTGAGAGGGAGTTATTAGTCTGTATTTTGGATATGTAGGACTTTGTATATATTTTACATGTATCATCTTTGTCAGATAAATGTGTAACCATCATCTTCCTTCTACTATTTAACAGTGACAAGTAGAAAAGAATATTATATATGAAATAATCGATACATTCAGTTATTTCTAAACTACTAGCAATTTTAGATGGAAAGTAATTAATATTTAAAGCACAAACTTTATAGTTTTAAATTTAAGACCAAAATTTCATTTCGTTATTTTGTTTTGATTTTAGGTGCAGTTAAAAACGAACATTTCCAGTCAGTATGTCATTCGGATGCAGCCAACCAATAGATGCCTTTCTACACTGGAATGTGCTGCTGTTGCTCTTTCCATCTTGGAGAAGAATAATCACATACAGGAGGTATGAGAAAAGTCATAGTTTTTGAAAGTAGGAGTTCAGTTATATTTTATTTTAAAAATTTAGATGTTTAATTTGCTCAATTTGACAAATTGAATGTATCTGTGATAGGAATTTATGTACTTTTATAGCCCTCTTTCCCCCTCTGGTGTTTTTCTGTGTTATTATTCCAGATTACATTATTTAAATATTCATACTTAACTGTGCAAACAACATTTGTAATATGCTAACTTGCATTTAAGTAGCACAACATTAAATAGCTTTTTAGCTAGATTTTTCTTTAGTATTTTCTATTTCTTTTTTTCTTAGTAGTTTGTATTCTTTTGTGTTCGACTTTTTTCTTTAATTAAAATAACTTTCTGTAGCAACATCATTATTTTTTGTACTGGTGCCTTTACTTGAAGAGAGATGCTAACATCCTCTTTATCTTATTATACTTGCTTCAAGTTTAAAAATGATACTTTTTTTTTTTTAAAAAGAGAAACACCTACAGAATATGAAAAGGATATAACCTATAATCATCATTCTGTTTAATTTCCATTAAAGTCTGAAATTGCACATATAAATAATAATCATCAGCAAAGAATAATGTTTCAATGAGCTTATTAACATCTCAATATTTTAGATTATGTAAGAAATTTTGCATTTATAGTAAAAGAAAAATATATGTAAGTAAAACTTAAGTTATTAGGGTTTTTAATAATTGAAATATCTTAATAATTATAACTGAAGAAAAAAAGTCAGAGGATAATGTTTATAACTCCTCCTGCTACACGTTCCCCCTCCATCATACACCATGACACAGGCATGCTAAGGTACTCTTTCTCCCTCTTTATACACTATAGTTACTACTGTAAGATTTACATCAGCTATGAAGGAAATTTCAATAATGGATAAAAGCTTGGCTCAGAGTAACTGGATTAGTTACCAAGATATTAATCCTAAAGAGAACAACAGTGTCTCAAGAGTAAGGAGTATTTAAAGAGTGCTAGAAGCATGCACTGAATTGCCTTTTTCTCTAACCGATCCTAAACTATAAAAAATGTCAAACGTTGGAGACTTTCCTTCTTTTGAAAGAAGCAGGCTTTCATTAGTGGGCTTTTTTGGGGGTGTGCATATGTGTGAGTAGTCTTTGTTTGGGATCTAGGCAATTTTATTTTCCTTTGAGAAAAAAAAAAATTCACCAAGGATACTTGACTAGGGAGTGTTCTCAGACTTTTCTGCCTTTTCTTTAACTTTATTACCTACTTCCCAACCATCACCTAGCACTTTATATTCCCTTGCACTTGTTTTTCTCTTTCATTTATTCAGCATCATCTTTTTGTACTTTGTATCCTTGTAAAAAACAAGCAAACAAACAAAAAACAACAACAAAGCCAACACACACCTTTTTAGATATCTTTACAGAAAGACGTAACCTAGTGCTACTTTTTAAAGTTGCTTTCTGTGTAATGTCTGTATTTCCCTTTTTGTCAATGTAAAATTCTAGGCTCAGATATCAAACCAAAATCTTGTTAAAAGTTCAAATCTTTAGAAAAATAAAATATTCTTTGAATGTAGACTTAAAACTTGATTTTCCCTCTCCTTCTAGGCTCCTTTTGAGCCTAGAAACAGCCTTCTATGAAGTTTCTTCTCCTTTTCCTACAGTTGAAATTGGATCTTTACTGCAATCTTAACTGGAAACTTCTTTGTTGGTAATGATGGTATTTATACTAATAGTAGATACGGTTAAAACAAGGTTAGGATTAGGGATAGGGGTTGTATTATTGCTACAAATGCTGCTGCTGCTGTTCCCCTTCCCAGTTTTATAGGTATAATATCTGGTATTAATTAGTCTACCATAATGGCAACAAAGCCATTAGTCAAGAATGTTTCACATTCTATTTTACAAATATTCTCGATTCTGGTCCACAATGAGTTGTTTCAAAATTGAGAAGGAACTTTATCAAAAATTGATGCTATATATTTAGAACAACTTTCTTGATATTGTTTCAGGGTTTTTTCTTCAACACATATCATTATTTTCAACATTTTACCACTTTGACTGTTTGATGTCATTAAAAGCATTCATTGATGATATAAGCCAAAAGCTGACTTTGACTCTTGCTAAGTTAGATGTGCTTTGTGATATGATATCTTAAAAGCAAAAAAACAACAAAAAACAGAACTTTATCATACAACTTGAAACTTGGAAAATATCTTATGTTCTTAATATAATATCTAAGAACAACCAAAGTTTAAGATACAGAATGTGGATAATTTTTTTGATCTCTTCAGTTTTTGTAACTATCTGTGGATTAAATTTAACATGAAATCCCATAGTAAACCAAGGTTCTGGAGCCCTTCATTTTGCTTACTTTGGTCTCCAAGAGTAATTGTACTATATGGCCAGGAGCAGAAAAACAAGGTTTGACAATCACCTGTGATTTTGTGGGGGTTGATAATATGGTTGGTGTCAGCATGAGCAGAAGAGATGTACAAGGAAAGATTTCAAGTTGCTTATTATTACAGATGGCAAAAATTGACCCCCAATTTATAGTAAAAGCCACTTTATTAGGTGGAGGAACTCTAAGTCCAGCTCTTAAAATCAATTTCACTAAAAAATTAGCCTGTCTGTTCTAAATGTAGGTGCAGAAAAAAATTATAGTATGCTCTGAACACAGGTGTTTTCCTCCCTTCCTGGAGAGGAAAGCTATGAAATACATTTTTTAACATGTAAATTTTTCTTTACATTGTAAGTTATAAGGGAAAAATAAATTCAAACAATAGTATTACAATTATATTTTACTGTACTCAATAGATAAAAAGTGTTGAATATGCCGAATATTGGCATTATGGAACAACAGAAACTTTCATACATTGCAGGGAGTTGTATGCAGTGGAATCAACAGCTATGTGGCAATTTCTTGTGAAGTTAAACATGTATCTACTCTGCAAGTCAGCAGTTCTATTCACGGAGAATAGAATACTAAGAGAAATGATAGCTTTTAATCACAAATTTTTATAAAAGTTTTCATAGTTTGTATAATAGATAGAGTGGAGACAATGCAGATATCTAAACAGCAGAATAGACGCACAACTTTATCATATAAAATACTGAAAAATAGAACAATGCTGTTAAATCTGAAAAACACTGTATTGAAGATAAAAAGCTAGATTCACAAAAGCACAAATTGCATGATTTCATTTATATGAACCTTTGAAATCAGTCATACTAATCTAAGATGATAGAAATTTGTATAGTGCATGCTTCTCCAGGAGTGTGAGAATTGAGTGAGGGCCAGAGGGAACTTTCTAAGGTGATGGATCTGATTTTTATCTTGATAACAATGTGTATTTCAGGAGTTTTACTTTTGTCAAAACACAGAAATTCTACTTTAGATATGCTTGTTTTGACAGTTGTCCCCATATACCTATGGGGTATTGGTTTCAGGACCCCAAGGATATTTGCATATGTCCTACACACATCCTCCCATATACTCTACATATGAAATACATTTTTGCTCAATAATTTTTAATTAGGGACATTTTAATAAAACCTTAAGATGATGGGAAAGAGTGATAAATTTTCATAGTTTTATTCTGTTGCCATAAGACCCCTCAAAATTAAGAACTCAGCATGGAATAGCTTTATTAGTCTTTTGATTCTTCTTCCTTTATTCTAAAGCAGTTTTCAAGCATGTAGAAGTAGCATGACTTGAAAATATAGCTCCCAAAAGTAGCTTGACTTTGGGCTTTAAAGTAGGTTTGATTTAAATCTTCATCACTTAGTATTACCACTTCAGTGAGCAGTTCACTTAATCTTTGTGCTTGTTTCCTACCTATAATGTGTATGTTTGTGTGTGTGTATGTTTACATCACAGTATTTTGAGAACTGAGTGACATAATGTTTGTTAATTGCCACAGTTGTCAACATAGGCAGTCAAGAGTTAAACCTTTTACCCTTTCTTGTCCCTCTGAATCTTACCTGTAGATTGATAAAAGAATTTTCAAACTAAAATTTGGTGTATTTTATTCATCTGCTGTATTACTTACCTGGGCTTAGGGGATTGTGCTTAATGATTTTTTTTCATTGCAGGATTTCTTTTACTTATTAATTTTTACCTTCTGAACTTTCAAAAGGAAATGTGAAAAAAGCTTTGAAGCTGGTGGTAATGGTCCCTTAAAAATAGTCTCTGCATATATAGGCAAAAAGATTTATAAAGCACTGGTTTCCCCAAATAAACATTTAGAAATTAAATTATTTTTAAGTAGAGGATTTTCTTTGTTCCTCTAAATCAATCAGACTCTTATATTGCCTCAGATATGATGATCTTTTTATATAAAAATGTTATCATTTATTATCAGTATGCACAATGCTTTGTATCATCTCAGTACTATGATAAAAGCCTTGTGAGATGGATATTATTTTTTCATTTTAGAGATGAAAAAAATGAGACAGATGTTATATGACTTAAAATACATACCTAGTGATAGTGATCAGTCTAGATCAGACTGCAGTGACTTAAAATGGCATCACTTGACAACAGCCTGTTTGATGCTTTTTGTCCAGTGGTGTTGACTATAGGACCTCTGCTCATTGCAGTCAGTGGGGAACATGGATTGATGGAGAAAATATCTAGATACATCATTCCATTTTCATCAAGGAAGATGCAGGAAACGTGGTGAATCCTACACCACTTTTAACACTTCTGGCCAGAGGTGACACACATTAATTTTGTTCACATTTCATTAGGCAATGCCTAACTTCTAAAAGGTGATTAATGCAATCTGATCATTTACTAGTAAGGACGACTGGCATATTTGTTAGTAACCCAGGTGACTATTACCTAGAAGGAGGGGGGCGTATTCTAGATCTAGCTCTAAAATTCATTCCCTTAATTACCTTAGTTGGATGAAATCTTATATTTAAGATGGAAAAGTTCCAGGCTCTTGACTAAAAGAACATTAGTATTCTCCTATACATGAAGAATGTAATAAATGTCTTAAAATACCAATAGAGT